TCTGCTAGTAAAAATGTTTAAGCTTAAAGTATCGCAACACAATTCATATAAACCAAAAACTCGTATTACAAAACAAATGTCTAAACGAATGACAATGTCAGGTAAATTCCAGTTAGTCAACCTGGCGCCGAATATGTCCATGGTTGGCAACAATGAATTTAAAAATTGCACCCTCGATTGCGTAACTAAAAGTTTAATTGGTATCGCTTATAGTGGATTTTATAAAAAAAGCTAATTTTGGATAGTAAACACTTCTCAAAACTGTTATTCTTTCATACGTTTGTCAAATAGAAACAAACTGTCTGAAAAGTTTTATGGTTGGTTCATACTTCCAGTTATTCTTACCCTTAATATTAACCTTAAGAACTTAATGAGGAAAATGCATGTTTTTAAATAATGGTTTTAAAAAATAGTTCATATAATTATAAATTGAACAAAAAAAAATCGTTGATATCGGTTAAGAAATGCCTCTAATATAAAATAATTAAATATTGTTAATTTAAAAGGCCGGGTAAACGCTCTCTACCGCGCCTTGCCGCTGTGACGTCACCCGCCGTTCTTCTGGTTGAGTGGAGCCAGACGCGTGTTTATTTTACACAGTTTGCTTTTAAAGGCTGTTGAATCCGAGTCAAATTTTTAGTTATTTGTGTTAATTAATACATAATTAGTAATTAGTGATATTTATAAATAGTAATGGATGAGCGAAAACAGAAAAAAATGGTCCAAGGCCATGAGAAGAGATGAAAAGAAAAACGTTAAATTATCCTCTATTTTTACGATTTATTGTTGTGAAGATCATTTACTAATAAATAATTAATAATTATTTATTAAGATCCTTAACTGCAAGTTTTAGAAGAAAACATTAAATAAAAAAGTTGCATGGTTTTTCATATACTCTCTTTTAAAATTAATTCTAGTTATACAGGGTGTCTCAAAAAAGGTGGTCCAGAAAATTGTAGGTATTTTCGTAAACATTTGAAGATAGGTATAGGATATTATACATGAAATATATCTAGAACATCTAGAAATTTCCGAAGAATCCAAAAATATATAGGGTGTTTCACTTAAAAAAGTAACTTAATTTTGGCGTTTGCTTATGGGACTAAAAAAACGTTTATGTACGTACATAAACGGAACACGTCTGGCTGCTGCTGGCCATCGCGCGTCGACGAGAACGGGGGGGACGTCAGACCAATAGAATATCGTTTCAATTCGCGAGGCGTCGTTTGCGTTATCCATAGTATTTTAATGGCCCGTTTTATAAAATTGTGGTACTGCTTTCAAGAAAAAAAGTTTTTTTTTGCATTTATACATATTTATTCTAATAAATTGAACAGTTTCTGGCGAAAAATAAAATATATGCATCTTCCTCATTATCAAAAATAAACATCAATCATTTCTAAACCAAAAAATAGATAATTTGTTAACATACCATTTTGTTCTAGATATTTTCTATGCTTTTCCTGTAATGAATTAATTCTCAAGACATTAATGATGTAATTCTAATGTTTAATAATAATAGACAACTATTAATTAGTAATTCTAATGTTTTAATAATACTTGACAACCATCTTTATTTAGGTGTTCATTGAATAGTCGCCAGTAACTTTGCGTAAACGCAATTATCTTCAAAACCTTTCCTTTTTTACGTAAAAAAATTTTAGTTTTTTATTTATTCCACTTGTTGAAATTACTGTATATACAAGGATTAAAAGTACAAACAATAGTACTATCTACCCTAATGTAAAGTACCCTTTTAGGACTATTACGAAATTTTACATTATCGCCATTTGCTTTGGCATTAATATATGTGTAAGAGTTTCAAATTTCAAGAAAAACGGTTTAGGGAAATTAAAATAACTTTGGTTGCACATATGTCGATAGGAACTTTTTGTTTTATTTTTACATGTAGAATCACCCACCGAAGTTAGATACACTATTTTTTGACCCCCTGTATACAGGAAGATTCGGGCTTCAAACAATCCTTATATTAGGTTTTTGGTTTGTGAATTTAATTTCAATTTTTTAACATAATATGGGGGCAACGCACATTTTGAAAATATTTTTGTCGACATGTGGGTGATTCCAATATATTTTCAAACCAAAGTTGTATATTTTTAAATGGAAACCTATATATTTTTTTAGCTCAGTGGATATGCCTCTATTTCTGGGTGCTACTTATTTCGGTCCAAAAAATCATAATATACTGTAGAGGGTGGGTCAAATTCGACGCTTTTAAATGGAAACACCCATTTTTATAGGAGATAGGCAAAAACTAATATCGGTGTCTGGAGCTCAATTTTTGTCAAAAACATGATGGTGAAAACCGCATATCGATAACTGTTACCGTTTCGGAGTTACGGGGTGTTTTTCAAAAATATGCATTTTTAACAAATCGCTGTAACTTTTTTGCTATGGAAAATTTTGTATTTTTATGAAAACATCTCCAGAGCACCTTTTTACTTAGAATGTAATAATTTAAGAATTATGAACAGAACATTTAATTTTTTATATGGGACACCCTGTATATTTTTAATTTATTGAAAAAAATTTAAAATTACCTTTCCAAAAATGTAACACACTTGAGATTTTGCTCGATTCCTCTTCGAGATATAGAGTATATAAACATTCGCCCGCTTTAAATAAGTAGGCTTTGAACGGCGCCGGCTGTAATGTAAAAAAATTCTAGCTGTGAGCATCAATTAAAACGAAAATAATATTTGCTATGAGAGATGCAGAATTTTATAACATTTTAAAATATAATTAACCAACATCAAGACATTTAAACTATATCTAATAACGATAAAAATAAATAGCAAACCAAGACATGAGATTTTGCTACAGGTGTTCGACAGATCAACCGTCTTCTGTTATGGACAGACGGTGCAGTTTTTGAACATTTCTCGCGGAATTCATTACTCAGTGGGGGTGAAAGATACCCTCCCATAACTGCTAAGTATTTCTAATTCTTGTCTAGATTATACGGAAGAATAAGGAACCTTTATTCTTCTGCAAATATATCCATATGATTAGATACATGGGCACTAAGTCAGGCGGCCTCGACGGCCAATGGGTGGGATCTTGATTAACTATTCAATTATTCTTGAAATTGGCTGCAAAAATTTGCTGATAACTGCAGCGTTCAAAGGCGGTGCGTCGTCCTGTTGGAAAAATGTTTTCGAGTTCCATTTTAAGGGCATTATCATCAATAAGGGGTCCAAAGCCTACTAGTTAAAAGTGGCGAACTTTTAAAGATTCAGTATTTCGAAGGAGATTATAACAAAATATCAAGTGTGCTATATTTTTGGAAAGGTAATTTTAAATTCTTTTCAGTTAATTAAAAATATAGAGGGTGTCCCAAATAAAAAATGAATTTTTCTGTTGATAACTCTTAAATTGTTAATTTTAAAAAAATTATACTTAAACCATTAAATTCTACGTAAAAATGTTTTCATAGAAATACAAAATTTTCCATAGGAAAAAAGTTACAGGGATTTGTTAAAAATGCACATTTTTGAAAAACACCCCGTAACTCCGAAACGGTAACGGATATTGATGTGCGGTTTTCACCATCATGTTTTTGATGAAAATTGAGCTCCAGACACCGATATTAGTTTTCGTCTATCTCCTATAGAAAAGGGTGTTTCCATTTAAAAGCGTCGAATTTGACCCACCCAGTACAGAGTGGTTTTTGAAATATAATCGTTTTTAAACGAAATTTACTGCTTATAATATAAAATAAAAAATACGCCTCTTAAAATACTAAATTCGAAGAATTAAAATTTTTTAACAGGTAGTACTGTATAATAGTGGCTTGGTTTGTGTGATATACAGGGCGAGTCTTAAATAAGTGCAAAATAACCGAGTTATTTTACTTTGAAAATTTCCAAGAAAATGATTTGTTGCTTAAATTTTGAGAACCACTGGATCTTTTCTAGGTATTCTCTCTTGTAAATTTAATCTACTATCTAGGTTGCCATATTATCAAGAAATTATGGTTTTTAACTAAAAATTTTAAAAAAAATCCAAAAGAAATTCTAAATTTTCATAATTTTTCTTTCGCGAAAAAAGCTCATAATCGTCTTTCTGGGATCGAAATATACTACCCCTAAAAATATTTGCACTTATTTAAGACTCACCCTGTATACAAGTCAAGTTAAAACTAAATGTTGTATTTTTCTCCACTATTTTAAATGGAACATCCTGTATTTTGTATCATTATTTAATCTTTTTGTTTTATTATGCACTTCCTATACCTAAATCGATTTTTAATGAGAAAATTGTTTTTTTGAAAATATAAGACAAGATCTGACTTTCGCTCTTTCAATGGTAGTGGCCTTTATATGTATATGTGAAAAAAAATATACAGGGTGGGTTTCCATTTAAAAAAACATATGTTTGTGTCATATGTCAAAAATGACAGGCTTTAGAAGAAATCGGAGAACACAAACTCATTAGGAATGTGATTATCTACAACTTTTATCTGAACACTTTTTGTCTAAAATAGATTATAATGGAATTAGGGACAATTTTTAAAATAGCCAAAATTTGTTTTTTTTCGAAATATCTAGTAAGCCATGAACTTCTTCGAAAATCTGAAAGGCGCATATTTATGACCCCACAAAACTGCAATTCTTTCCCCATTTAACTGACTCTCTATCTCCAGTAGTTTCCGAGATACACATAGAGAACACCCTAGGAAACTCACCCTGTATGTAAAAAAAATTAAATGAAATTCACAATATAGAGCTTTTTCGGAAGCCTGAATCACCCTCTACTAGTATCCTATAATCTTGGCTCTCTGTGTTGTTACAATTATTCAAATTATTATACGAAGTGCATTTAAATGTATTTAATAATAAATATCTTTAAAGAAATTTTGAGTATTAAAGAATACTATTAATTAATAAATTTGAAACGCATTTTTCAATGAACACCAAAACATAACCTCAATTCAATCGACTAACTAATAAACTTACAGCTCGTTTTTTTCATATTAGAACATGGGGCGTCGCACGGTCACTCGCACTCACCGGCGGCCGGCCTGTCGCACTCTCGCAATCGCCTCACCCAGCTCGCCCTCACCGACGATAACGAGAACGACGAGGCTTTTCCCTCGCCGCCACCTCCTCCGCCTCCCAAGGCCATATCGCACCACGGTCATTCGCACGGCGGCGCAGGTCAGATGAATATGCGCGGCGTGTTCCTGCACGTGCTCAGCGACGCTTTGGGATCCGTCATTGTGATCGTGTCCGCTTTAGTAAGTATTTGCTACTATTTGTAGGGATCTCTATTAAAAAATCTTATCTATCTTTTTTGAGCTATACAATATACGTATATACCAAACAGGCTATACTTTTTTAAGCTCAAACCATAGACTAATGTCATGTACTAGATATAGATTGAACACTGATATAAAACAAGTAGGTCCGTTGTTGAAAGCCACCTGGTGATCCGGAAGAAACTAATGGAGAGTTTTGGCATAACATAATTTTAGCGTTCCGTTACTTATTAACGCTAACTAAAACGGTAACGTTATTCAAGCGCAAAATTATTTCTTATAAAATATAAATTAATACATATAGGCTTTCTTACCACATTTTATGTTTTATTAGATCATTAGAAGTATAACATAGTCAAAACAAAAATAAATCTGTGAATACATACATTTTAAACACCAACAATAGAGCACATACCGACTATTTTTTTGATTTAAAAAATAAATTATAATATAGTAAAAATATTAGACTACTAATTAACTGTTACTAAAATATTATATTATTGTATTTCCAACTATGTACTTACTTATTTATGATTAATAATAATAATAGCTCCCGTATATAGCTTTAACGCCTTGGGAGTAGCAAGCTACAGCTTGCTATACTAGAGCCGTTCGGTATACAAGGAAGGTAATGTGGCTAGCACTACGCTTCAACCGCCTATTATTACCTCAGGATTGTGAATCCCAAGTAGTCATTTAAGGCTGAGTCGACCTAGGTACCCAAACTATTTTTATTTTAATAAAAATAGTCGGCTGATGAAATGCCGGGTGTGGGAATCGAACCCACACCTTGAGATTGGTAGACAAGAGCCTGTACCTCTACGCCACCGGGCACTTTTTTTTTATAATTAATTATTAATTTAATATTTATGATTAAACTATTATTTATTTGGTTCATAAATTTGTTATTTCTAAAATGTCCAAATGTCTTTAATAAACAAGTTTAGTATCTAACACGAAAATGATGATCTACTGTAAATATCAAAATGCACAAACTAATAAAAATACAAACTACAAATCACTGAACTTTCCGATAAATCAGGAATATCTTAATTAATAATTATTAAAAAACGATTTAAAAATAACTTCATGGATCACTAACATTTTGTCAACTAGATCACAACTAGACCATAGACGGTAGTCAAAATAGCTGCTGCCATGTGATCTTCATATATAAATTATTAGAAACCTGTATTTTAATGTTTATTGCGCCGTCTGGCGATGCGGAAGAAACTAAATTTGTAGGTCTATCAAATTACCATTGAGTGTCTAGGGCTTGGCTCAAACCAATGTTATTAAATAAAAAAAACTTGACTATGGTTTCATTCTAGCTTGGCCATGATGTCATATACAGGGTGTCCCAGGCCGAGCGTGCATTAGAAGTTTCTAGAGAACTACAATATCTAGATCGGAGATTTTGTGCGCATCATTGTTTCACAACGAGATTATCGTTAAAAAATATTTGCAATATGGCGGCACTTCCGAAAATACCGGAAGTTGGTAACAACTTTCTTATTTTAAATGGATACCCCTTATCTTATTTTTATTACATACTTAAATTCTCTGTAAACTTTTATGAATTTTGAAATTAAACACGGTTAGGCATTAGCCGATTTTTGAGAGAAAAAAATTGGACAAAAAAAACTGCCTGTCAAAAAAATGTATATAGCATAAACGTCAAATTTAGTGATTACTACAGCCACTGTGACATAAAGAGAAGACATGTGGCTGTCTATTTCAAAAATTAAATTTTTAGTGTCATATAATATTGGCCGTAGCTGTCATGGAATTTTAGCAATTAAAATTTTATCATAAATATTTTTTTTTTCAAATAGAAACCCACTTTTTATTTCATTAGCGAAAAGGCTCTTCAATTCGTTACTTTTTGATTATACCTAAAATAAATTATTCCTGTACCTAAAATAAATTGTTTTTAAGTTATTTAAGATTTAGTTTTAAAGCGTATATTTTTCTTGATTTTATCTAGCTTCCTTTGACATTAACTGTCAAATAATCGAACAATTTATTTCCGAAAACTAATTATTTGAATTTTGTATATTATAAATACTGCTGTTTCAAAATTTATAAAGTGAATTTATAAAAAATATATGTATCTCGCATTTTTGCGCTTTAGTGATATTGAATAGTTGATATTATTAATAATATACCGTATGATCGAAAAAACGGCGCATAGATGGCTTGGAAATGACGATCTATGACATACTGATTTTTCAACATTGTTTTACATCACTTGACGTTTAAAGTCATAAGCTACTGGTTAAAATCAAGAAAAATATACATTTTAAAACTAAATATTAACTAACTCAAAAACGATTTATTTTAAGTATAGGAACTTGTATAATCAAAAAGTAACAAATTGAAAAACATTTTTACTAGCGAAATAAAAAAGTGGGTTTCCGTTTGAAAAAAAAAATTATTTATGATGAAATCTTTTTAGATAGATGAGTTTTTTGGATATCCTCTGTCAGAATTGACCCTTTTCTAAACGAAGAAACTTTATTAAGCCATACTGTGTGTTTTGATTAATCACTATTATTAAACCGTATTAAAATTGGTGTATTTTATTTTTTTCTAGATATTTTGGTTGACAAATTGGAAATATAAATTCTACATCGATCCGGCTCTATCTCTGCTCCTGGTACTGTTGATTCTCCATTCCGTGTGGCCTTTGCTGCGCGACTCAGCTCTAATTCTACTCCAAACCGTGCCGACGCATATTCAAGTTGACGCGATTCAGCAGAGGTTACTGAAAAACGTCGACGGCGTATTGGCGGTCCACGAATTTCACGTGTGGCAATTGGCTGGTGACCGAATTATTGCTTCGGCGCATATAAGGTAAGGATTAGTGATGGGATAACTCGAACGAAAATTCGCTCGATTACTCGATTATTGAAATAACCGACATCGCTCGATTATGAACGAGCGGCGAACGCAAGCGATCCTATCGAGCGAATTTGCTACATACATTGCAGATTGGTAATATTTTATCAGTATTTTTGGTAAAACATCTTCATACAACAGATTGTTCTTTTGATTGGGACCGCATTGTTAATTTTAGGACTATACGACGTTATCTGTTACGTAACTGTGTGACAAAATTTTACCACCTTCATCGACAAGGCTTCGATGCATGATCAAGCGAAACTACTCGTCGCTTGTCGCTTGCCATTATCATCGAAAGAATATGCGATCTGCGCACGCAGCTTACTGCTTGGCGTTACGAGTACAAGGACAAGCGACGCGCGACGGCGATGGAGAAAAACCGTATATTTAAATACAAGCGAAATTCCACTCCAGTGATCGCTCTATTATTGAAATCGCTTGACACTCGAGTACTCGATTATTAAAATTCATCGGTTTTTCCCATCACTAGTAAGGATAGGACACACTGATATACAGGGTCGCTGATATGAATGGAAACGGTCGATTATTAGGTAAAATGTACGAGGTACCGCAAAAAGTTAAATATAAAAATTATACGGTTTTTAAATGTCTATTGGCTAATAATGCATTTAAGTATACAGGGTCGCTCGTAAAGTTCTGCACGCTTTTCTTCATTTAAAAAATTCATATTTACAATTTTTGTTTATTTTAATTTACAAAGTTTCGATTGAACTTGTTTCCATGGCTAACTAAGTGAAATTGTTTAAAAATTATAAGAATTGGCTATTACTCAGTAATTTTTCGAAGAAAACATATTATAGCTTATATAGCTGAAAAGCTTTAAAAATGGCGCTTTTTATTGGCCATGACAACTTGTTTTATTGGCCATGACAACTATGGTTTCCATTTAAAAAAAATATGTTTGTGTCATATGTCAAAAATGACAGGCTTTAGAGAAAAACGGAGGACACAGTCTCATTAAGGGTGTGATTATCTACAATTTTTAACTGAAAACTTTTTGTCTAAAATAGCTTATACTAGAATTAGGGATAATTTTTAAAATAGCCGAAATTTGTTTTTTTTTCGAAATATCTAGTAAGCCATGAACTTTTTCAAAAACCTGAAAGGCGCATATTTATGATCCCACAAAACTAGAATTCTTTCCTCATTTAACCGACTCTCTATCTCCAGTAGTTTCCGATATACCCATAGAGAACATCGTAGGAAACTCACCCTGTATATAGATGTATAAAATGAGATTGAATCAAGTCTGGAAATTACAAAATTTTCGTTTGACATTTCAAAATTTACATTTAAATTACCATTTTTGCTTAAAATTGGAAGAAGAATTGAAATGTACAATAATATACAGGGGGTTGCATTATTATAGTGGCCGGCCGTAGCTCCAGCGTTAGTGTGTCGAGCTGCGGAGCGGAAGGTACTGGGTTCGATCCCCAGCCAGTACGGTCGCTTTATTTATTTAAATAAAAATATTTATTTATCTAAATTGAGCGACCAACGAGCCGCCACCTCAAGGAAGGCAATGGCAAACCACCTTGAGTATATTTGCCTTATACAGCCTCTCAAATAGTGCCGTTCGGATTCGGCAATAAACTGTAGGTCCCGTGTACTTGTGAAACACTGATAACACACATCACAAGTACATGCGAGAGGTAGCCGACGCTCTATATAGAGTATGGCACTGTAAGAAGAAGAAGCATTAAAAAATAAAGTTTGATGTGCCACAGCTTTATGACAGACCCTGTATACTTAAATTTACTATTAGCTAATAGATATTTAAAAACTATAAATTTTATATTTAACTTTTTGTGGTACTTTTTATATTTTACCTAATAATCGACCATTTACATATAGGTATATCAGCGACCCTGAATATATACAAAGGAGTGCAAAAAACAAATTCTTGCGTTCAGAGCAAAAGAGAAAATAAATAATGAGATTTAATAAGGGTGTGTTCCATATATATCAGATGGTAACCAATTTTGATTAGCAAAGACCAGTCGCGAGGTACTTAGGCTTGATAAATTTTGAAATAAGATTGCGATTAGTTTTTTTGCAACAGCTATTAAGCAGCTTTGGCGTCTTGTACACTTTGTTCCGAAAAAAGTTCTAAAAGGAACAATTTTCGACTGCAAGATCTGTTGAAATACAAAAAAATTGTAAACTTAAAGTATCACAACACAATTCACTTAAACCAAAAACTCATAATACAAAACTAAAGTGTCAAAACGAATCAAAATGTCAGGATATAAATAAATAAGTGTAGCAATGAATATGTCCATGGTTGGCAACAATGAAATCGTGCTCTCGTTGATGCAACTAAAAGTTTATTTGGTATCGCTTATATATAGATGTAGCTACTGATTTACCGTTTTAAATGTGCAATATAAATATGCCTAGAAAGAAGGATCTCAATTGGTTTCTTCTTTTTCTTCAAGATGTTTTAAAAATTATAAATTCTTGGCATTTGCTCGCTTATTCTTGTTTGTTCTCGTTTAACGCTCTCCAAAGATAAATTCTCTAGCATTTTACAACACAAAAAATATATTTACTAATGCGCCATTGCCGCCTCCAACGGTATCAGGCCCGGAGGTTCGACGGCGCAAACAGCTACTCCAGCCTCGAGAAGTTTTCTCTTGCCGGTCGTGAAGGCCAAGTCCACAGAGAAAAGAAGAATCGAGTGACAGTCCGCGCTGTCATCCGTCAACGAAGAGTCTCGGGGAGCCAGTGAAGATCATCGTCTCTGTTAAATTTCAGTCCAATTTATATCAATGTTAAATAAAAAGTTAGAACACGCGCCGCATTTCAATACGACCACGGTCACATCCCTAAAGATATATTCGGCGCCAGGCTGACTAACTGGAATTTAAATTTCCCGCTGGGGATTCATGTGGTAGCTCTGCTGCAAAAAATGTCAAGTTGCCACATCTATTTATTTATTTCCTGACATAGTGTTGTGATACTTTAAGCTTAAAAATGTTTACTAGTAGACCTTGCAGTCGAACATTGTTCTTTTTAGAACCTCTTCTAGTGCGAAGTGTACGAGATAGCTTAATAGCCGCAAAAAACTCATCGCAACTTTATTAGAATATTTTGAACGGGAAAGCGGTAGTAATGGCCCTTCGTGTCCCTTACGTGCTGTTAAGGGGGTGAGTTTTTTTGATGTCAATAATAACTGTTTAAATATTTATAATTTATTTATTTTTGTTTCCTAAAATATTTTGATTAAAAGAAAATATATAAAAGTGGGCAAGTGGGTCAAGCTTAATCACGTGACTAAAAGTTTATTTGGTATGAACTGTAGGTATATTTATGTGGCAGCATCCGATTGTCGTATTGGATTGGTACAAGTACCATTTTACCGTGTCAACCAGGCTTTACAAAATATATAAATATTTTCAGATGTCGTAACTTGTCAGAATACATGAAAATTGCCGAAAAAGTTAAAGAATTCTTCCACAATGAGGGAATTCATTCAACAACTATTCAACCCGAATTTATAGACTATACAGATATCCCGACGACATCTAAGTAAGTGTTAAATATTGTTAAAGATTACTACAGAAACGAATTATATCTTTAAATTTAAAGGGATGGAGCTCAGGATTCCGCTACAGAAGACTGCGTTTTAGATTGTCCAAAGACTTCAGATCAGCCAGCCAATTGTGTAAAGAACACATGTTGTGGTCCGTCCAAGGTAAGAAATTCTAAGTTTAATTAATTTAACCGTAAAATATCGTATGATCGAATAAAAACGGCGTCAGCGATGGCTATGAAATGAAGATCGCTGTCATTTTATATGGGAAATGTCATCGATCGTCATTTCATAGTCATCGCTGACACCGTTTTTATTCGATCATACGGTAGTTTTGATTAGGAGCAGTATGAGTTGAATGCGTTGAATAAAAAGATTAAGGAAGGAGCATATCAAAAATCTTAGATCGAACGCGACGGGCTTCTAAAATGGCCGACTTAAATTCCGGTTTATCAGTGCCGTTCTAATTTTATTCAAAACGTGTAAAAATATGATGTAGGGTCATAGACTTAAAATAAAATATAGACTACACTATTTATATCTAAACACGGTCAAACAATCTTTTTTGTACACATGTTTACTTCTGGGTACAGTCGACCGAGCCTGCCTCATCCAGCCTATGTTGTCACGTCTTTAATATTATCAATATTTTTTTTCTGGTTATACACATATGTATATTGAGATATTAATACTACATTTTAATAAAGTAGGTTTTAATATTCCATAGATGTATTAAATAGTCCTTATACTACTAAATTATAAGTCGGATACTATTTAAAAAGGATAAGTTCTTTACAATATGGCAACACCGATTAGAGGCGAGGTCGCCTATTCATTCATTTATTACCTTGTAGTACGTGTCGCACGTGTGCGGTAAAGCTTTGTTGCCGCTATCTCCCCAGCTGTATTAACGTATTTGCTTAGCTTGTAGTCCTTAAGTGTTTATTTTGTTTACTTTTTTGTTCAAGAACTATAAAATATGGTTCGCCATTGCCAAATTTGCAAGAAATTTGACTTAAATAATCCATTTAAGTTTTGAAACGACTTTCGACCGGTAGGCAACTCTCAATTTACCCATTGGGAGTCAGTGGCGTTGTTGTAGAAAGGCGCTTATTTAGATAATATTTTAATAAAATGTAAAATCTAATTTTTTTCTTTTACATAATCATTTATATAAAGGTTTTTAATAAAATCATAATTATTATAGCCCTGTTAATAATTAATAATATTTTTATTAAAAATATATTCCGGTTTATTCTAAAATTATCTTCAGAATCTAAAATAACATACAAGAATTTTAAAATGATATTACATTATGAAACAATATTTTTAATATACCGGGTTCGTTTTTAAAGGCACCCTTGGTATATTTCTACTTTATTCGATAAAAAATGACACTCTAAATAGAATGACATATGTCAACTTTTGACATTGTCGCTTAAAAACAAATCGTATTTTAAATTTCAATCCAGGGTGCCATAGTGTTGTTAAAAACACTAAGTTTTAATCAAGGAGCCTTGGAAAAATAGTTTTGATCATCTAATGGGTTTCGTGTCTTGTCTAGGCCGGTTAAAAGATGTACAAATCGTATTTTTAATCATATGTCAATTTTTTCAAATTGAATAAGGGTGACTCATTAGCATATTTGGAAAGAGCATTTTTTTTATGAATATATTGATACCAAACCCTTGGTATTTCGAGTCAAATTGTCTTTATGAACTGAGTGTTACAATTACAATTACACCATATGCGAAAATGTCAAAAGTTGATATATGTCATTCTATTGAGAGTGTCATTTTCTATCGAATAAAGTAGAAATATACCGAGGGTGCCATTTAAAAATTAAAAGTTATAGTAATTTCCGGTGAAACAGGAAGTGACCAAAAACAATTGAATGCGTCAATCAATCCTAATTTATGTGTAAACTAACTAGCATACTAAATGTTGTTTTTTTATTTGAAAAAATAAAAAAATTATGGGGATTAGCCACTTTTGGGACGCACCCGGTGTAATAAAGACTGTACCGAGTTAAATAAATGTAGTTTTTCATTTTATCCACTTTCTATCACCTTCCTTGCTTTAATGGAACAGATTTATGTTTTCTCTAATTTACATAAATAAGACATCACTTAACCAGAAAAAAAAAATTACAACAAGCATATTTTTTTTTCCCCTGTCGCCGATTCTATTGTATCTGTAGAATAGATCCTGTTTTGATTAACATTAGGGGTTGTAAATGTTTGACTAAAATTAATATTTTTTTTAAATATTTCAAAAATTACATAATTTCGCTTATAAAATTTCTTCTATAACATGTATTTTATTATTTTTATCCTTTTTGGACTCTAAAGACGTTTTTTCTAAACCTTTATTTAAAAAAACCTGTCCTAAATCTTAATAAAACATAAAAAAGTTTAAATTTGATATATTGTTAATTTAATTATAGCTTCATTAAAAAAAAAATTACCCGGCTATGATACGGAGAGTTCAGGTGTACTCGAGAAACGAAAGACAGTGTTGCGTTTCTCGTCAGAGTCGTCAGGGAACGACCGTTACGACAGAGACAACTTATCTATCGCTCGTGTCGCACTCGTTATAACCTAAAACAATAACACAACAATAACCAGACATTGCTGACCGCATGTTCCAGCTATTTATGAAGGAGATGCTCAGTCTATATTTTATTTTAAGTCTATGTGTAGGGTAGACTCAATAATTTATTGTTTTATTTTACGTTCTAAATAAAAATTGGTAGTTATTAAAATTTTTATAAAAATATATAATTCTAATAAAAATACATAAATTATAATACGTAATTATTTATTAACACAAACATCCGATACGCTAGTGAAGTCACAGTTACACGCAAGTCAAACTAAAAAAACGTAATATCTACGAAATAAAGAGATCTACAGAAAATTGAAAGAAAGCAAAAATATTGCAAAAAAAGGACCTTTAATTTTACTCTGTTGCATTTTTTACGTATCTTGCTTAGTTTTTGAGATATGTCAAAAAAATTTAAATTTAAAAAAAACAATAAGAAAAATGTTCCGTCATTTTCAACTTTTTTTCAAATTTAGGCATTCTAAACCGCTCGAACTGGCAGAGCCCATTGTTAGTACCTAAATATAGCCAACTGTACATGTATTACGCTTAGTTTTTATTTTTATGATTTTAGTCATAGATTTTGTTGTTAATTTTTTCCGCAAAAATGAGGTGACCATTTTATTTTTATCATAACACCGCGAGTTTTTTAGCTACTTTTTTAAAAAAGCATTAAAAAGGCCTTTTCAGGCACTTTAAAAACGGTCATATTCGTTTTCTTCGAAAAATGTGTTTTTTCGCCATTATTTTACAGTAAAAGGTTGCAATTTAGTTTTCAAAAAATAAAAAATCACCTTTATAGAGTGATAACTCGGCTATTACACCTACGGCAATCAACAAAAAATCAGTCGTTTAGTTGTTCCAAAAGCTTCATTTTTGCTTTATATGAGTTTTGCGATAAAACGCAAGGTTTTCGAGTTATTTATAACAAATGGCAGAAAATATGCAGTTTTTAGATGAAAAATCAACATTTTCAATCCTAAATAACTAGGAAAATATTAATTTTCTGGAAAAGGTTATAGAACATTTTAGAATTCATCCCTATATTGATTTTTGCAATTAAAATGGGTGATTTATTTTTCACCCCCGAGAAGGGTTGCACTCACCCCCAGGGTGAATGGACACATAGCTACTATGTAACTTTTGTTTCTTACATATATCTCTATTCACTGTTAAAATTTCACGTCAATCGGTGCAGGTGTTCAGAATTCAGTCCCTAAAACACTCACTTACTAGCCTATATTCTTAGTTTGCTGCAATAAGTTCCTGCACTGAATTTCCTCCTTTGTATTTGACAGTTATTATTTGTATCTCCACTCAGATATGGAATCTTTAGGAAGTACCTGGCATGGATCAATAACCGCATAGAGAACCTTTATTATTATACCACAAGGATTTTCCATTAGGGTAGCATATTCAATTATTAGAAACTATCAGAAGTTCATATAATTGAGTTTGCTCTATGTTTGCGATCTAGAGTCCACCATTTTAGAATTTCACTATTAGAGAGCATAATTATTCGTTTAATAGGAAATCATTGAATTTTGTATGTATATTTCAATATAAATTTGTTTTTGATGACTGATAACAGACAAATAAATTAAACCACAAAAGACACAGATAACAAATTGAACACAGTAAATATAGTATAAGAAATATAAATAACTAATAATTGTAAAAATTATACCGTATGATCGAATAAAAACGGCGTCAATGATGGCTATGAAATGAAGATCGCTGTCATTTTATATGTAAAATTATATGGGAAATGTCATCGATCGTCATTTCCAAGCCAACTGGACGCCGTTTTTTTTCGATCATACGGTACTACTTATTAAAAACATCTTAAAATATTTACTTTTTAGGATATCGACGATAGTGATGAAGATGATGAACCGAGTATTAATTCTGGCATAAAGCAGTTATTTCAAAAAGTTTCCGATTTTCCTGGTAATAGAAACAGAGATCGGTATCGAGTTTTTCTATATTTATAATCGCTAAAATTGATACCAAAAAAAATTGTGTGTGCACTATGTGCGCACATTTGAAGTGACATTTAAAGTCTTACTAACAGCTATTAAATTGAGGGATTTGAAGGACATATATGTTTGAAAAAGTGTAGTTTGAAAAAGTAATAAATTAAAAATTAATAAAGAATTTGATTCACGTTTACATAGTGATGGGAAAAAATTAAATTTTTAGATAACAGTTGAAACTGTTATAGTTATTTATAAAAAACAGCTTAAATATAACAAGTTTCTTTATTTTATTGCTAAATATCTGAAAGACTATGAGGCGGTCACCGCCAGGCGTATTAACGCAGTTGCAAGTTGCAACAAACGTGCTCGGTGGTAGTATTTCCAGGGTGTCAAAACATTTCTAAATATCGATTGTTATCTACAATACGTCTCTAAAAACGGTGGTTGTTTACGGAAGCGCTGTTACAAATTGCGATATAAAAAAAACCAAAATGCCGCCACCCGTCTATACCTATACATTACGATCTACCAACGCCCTGACCCTCGATCCGCCTGAATTGTGTAGCACTGTACAGGGTG